AATTTCCAAGCCACAGGAAACAGATAAAAAACATTTAGCTGATCTCCTCAAAGCGCACAACTTCATATCCTTTAGGCAGGTAACTAGGGTAATATTTTTCTAAAACTGTCCAATAGGTGGCTGTGTGTATGACCGGAGTAGGGGTATTACCATCAGTCCCATTTCTGAGCTTAGGGCCAGACCTGCCTGTCCCAGACTGAATGTGCATCTGGGCCTGGGGCCACGGCAGGAGCCGGGTCGGCTGTGCAGCCACAGCCCGAGCTGCCCTGGCTGGGTGAGGATGGAGCCCGACTGAGTCCACTGTTCCCTCTCCCATGGGCCACTTGGAAAATGCCTTCTGTCCTTGGGATATAGTTATGTCCCAGCTGTGACAAGAAATAGGTGTGGCCCTGAGATCGTGTATAACTGAAAAACCCAGAGTACAGGGGAGAGTTGGTGGGAAGTAGCACATTTTTAAAAAGAGCAAAGTTTGCCCAGCTGGCTGTGGCTCATTTGTTGAGCATCAACCTATGAACCAGGAGGCCACAGTTCTATTCCTGGTCAGACCACATGCCTGAATTGTGGTCTTGATCCCGTGTGGGGTGTGCAGAAGGCAGTCGATCAATGATTCTCTCTCATCATTGATGTTTTATCTCTCTATCCCTCTCCCTTCCTCTCAGAAATCAATAAAAATATAAATAAAAAAGCAAGGTTTCACTAGTAGCCTTTGTTCTCCTTCTCCATTATCTGAATGACAATAAAACTAAATAAAGTATACTGTGTTACTAACAATCAGATATTCTCACTAATAAACGGGCAAGAGTTGATCATCCTAAATGGCAAAACTCAATACTAGGATTTTTCTAGCTTTGGTGGGTATGTGGTCTTTAGATATGAATATAGATATGTCTGGTGTCCTGAGAATTTGAGAACACAAACCAAATCATAATATCATAATGGAAAGATCTGACTCAAAGAGATGGTGAACACCCAGCATCCTGATCCTGCCCCAGATCAGCAACTCCACCCTGGGCGTTCCCGTCCCCTCTCAGGTGGACACAAAGCACGCGGCTTGGGCAAGGCTGCTCAGTCTCTATAAGCCTGAGGCTTCCTCACGCCTTCCTTGGGCAGGGCAGATGGGATGAAGTATGTGTTAAACCCAAGGGCCTGGGTTTCAAGGCCATTCTTTCGTTTTTTTATATTGTTTTATAATCACTTTTTCAATAATTATTTTTGTTGTTTAAAACAGCATAATGAATCTAGGCATTCAATTTAAAAAATTTTATAGTTTGTAGATCATTATTTTTAATTGCCACTTTTACATAGAATGAATTCTAGCAACAGAATTTCTTGATTGAATCCCACTGCTATCTTCCTCCATACATTTATTATAGAACCTATAAATATTAATCACTTAAATATTCCCTCACTGATGGGAAATGAACTTGTCTAACTCTAAGTTCTAGCTTCTTTGGGTTAATGTGTATTATGTATATATGTTTTAATACACGTTTTAGAAGATGGATAATAGGTACTCTACATATTAGGGTAGATATTAGGGTCATTCTTTTCTTTTTAAGATATACATTTTTTATTGATTTCAGAGAGAAAGAGGGAGAGAGAGATAGAAACAGCAATGATGAAAGAGAATCACCGAACGGCTGCCTCCTGCACGCCCCCTACTGGGAATCGAGACCGCAACCCAGGCATGTGCCCTTGACCGGAATCGAACCTGGGACCCTTCAGTCCACAGACCGATGCTCTATCCACTGAGCCAAACCAGCTATGGCAGGGTCATTCTTTTTTAACTGTTGTAGTTATACAGTGCTGACAAAATTAAGAGTAAAAAAGATGGAGGTACTATACTAAAGGAGTTAAGCGAAGTAGGTGATATAAATTAGAACTACCCCCTAAAACTGCTGGAGACCCATTATTTATTTAAAAACCCCCACAAAAACCCATAACCTTCAGAAATGAGGATTTTTGTTATTATTTCGCTTGAAAATAAAAATCTGAGGAACTTGTGCAGGACATTTCAAGGTGCAAGGGTTTCCCTCATTTCTGTAAAATCCTGGACGGTTGGCACCTCATCCATGGAAAGGTGACAGAGTGAAAGAGGAAGGCCTCAGACTGTGGGGCAGTTGTGAGGAGGAGTGTCCTGGCCCCTTTCAACCCTGCAACAGGCAGGCATGAGGTGGGAGCCCCCTGGGCAATGTCTTGTGTCACAGAGCAGCTTTAGCAACAAGGAGGAACGTAGAAGAGATGTGGAGTAAGGAAAGGGAGGGAAGGAAGAGGGGCAGGACAGGAGGAGAGGATGAAGAAAGAAAAGGGAAGGAAAGATGGGATTTGGGAAATGGAAACTCAATGCTAATGCAAAGAAAAATGCAAAGAAAATGGTCCTTTTACCTTCCACAGGGGACAAGGGAATATGAAATGCTAAAAAACAAACAAAAACAAAAGTAAACCATGAAAAGTCAAATTAAAATAAAAATTACATCAAGCTGGAAAATGGAAGTTGTGGCAAAAATCAGGGCTGATCTAGGAGTCCCCTCCCCCTCCCCCAGCAGCAATTTCAGCAAAGGTAGCAGTCCCACCCCATGGCCCTTCACAGATTTCCAGGACTAGCATTGGTGGTCTTAGGAAATACTGCGAGGGCCAGCAGCAATTTCCAGACAAATCAACGACAGGACCAATTGAGTTGGGTTACTGATGGCATTAGGGGAACCTCTGGGCCCCAAACCTGCCCTCTTTCCAACTAGTTCTGCTTAATAGTAACTCAATTCCCCATCAAGGGCCCATAATTGCTCCCAACACACAGGCCCTCAGGAGTACAGATGAAGGTGAAGGCGGCACTGGGTGTGAACAGAGCAGCACTGCCAGGGGGACTATTCCCCCATAGGGCTGTCCAGCAGCTACGAGTGGCTCTGGCGCAGTTACCTGCTCCTCAGAGAGCCTGCAGTGGTGTGGCCAGGTGAGAACGCAGTAGCACCAAGAGGAAGCTGCATCTCAGAGTTTGGCCGGTGGCTCTCAGAAACCCTGGAAGACCTGCCATCATACTGGTCTATGAAGGGGCTGAGGTCCCCCAAATACTCACTACTCTGGGACGAGCTTTTGGGCTTCCCGATGTATTTGAGGATGGGGTTTCGCTTTTTGTCTTCCAAGGCATCCTTTTCTTTCTTGGGATTGCTGCTCTGCTGAGAAAAGAGACATGGGGGTTTGGAGAAGATCCCAATACCCAGATGTGGCCACTAATCACTCAGCCGCTGCTCCAAAGACTGGCCCTAAATAAGAAACTGGAGAGCAGGGTCATGCTTGTTCCCTAACGAGGTTTGGAGGAAGGGAGAGAGCTGCTCTAGTGTGAGGATTTTCACCACGGCCACAGGTGGTGGGATGAGCTAGATCAGTGGCCGGCAAACTGCAGCTCTCGAGCCACATGCGGCTCTTTGGCCCCTTGAGTGTGGCTCTTCCACAAAATACCACGTGCGGGCACGCA